GAGCTGGGGGTGGTAACGGCCGACAGGGAGCTCTGGCGTGGGCTGATCCATGAGGTCACGAAGAGTCGGAGATGACTGAACGAGTGAACAACAACAACAACAACCATAATTGTTTATTTAGTCTGTTCCTTTTACTTCCATTACAGTACTTATTAATCATTTGTTGCCATCTAGTTAGTTCTTCTTCTGTAATTTGAAGTGGTAGCATCCTAAATATGAAATTTATTTTTGGAAGTATTTTCATTTTTACTAATGCTATTCTTCCAAACCATGATAAGCGTATTCCTTCGTACTCTATTAACTTTTTCTGGACTTCTTTCCTTAATGTTACTACATTTACTTCCTCTATCTCTTTTAAATCCTTAGTTATTATTACTCCCAAGTATTTTAGTTTGTTCTTGATTCTTATTCCCCCTTTGCTCTGTTCTATAAGAAATCTTTGGTTTCTCCACTGAGAAGAGGCAAAATGTTTGACCATTATTTAAACCAGGGGTCCTCAAACTTTTTGAACAGGGGGCCAGTTCACTGTCCCTCAGACTGTTGGAGGGCTGGACTATAGTTTACATGGGAATATTGTGAAACATTTATTTTATAAATTGTGAAACATTTATTTCTAATTACAAATAAACGAAATTTTGACTGCAAGTATGTCGTAGCATGGGTAACAGGCTAACTATAACAGCAGGGAACCCATGAATATGTTTACTGATCAGCCTATTGGCCGAATTCCCATGACCTCTTGTCATCATAGTTTGTGGCAGCCACACAAAGTTTCTGGAGAACTACTACTTTCAAAGTAAGAGCCGCACAATTAAACAGAAAATAACAATTTCAAACCAGGAACAGATTTCTGTTCTACAATATTATTATTATGCTTATTTATACACCACTTTTTGTCTTCACAAGGAGACTGTGGGCACTTCCAGAAAGGCCCTATATCCCAGGATATGATCCCAGGTTTTCTGCTTTAAACTGGATTATTTGAGTTTGCACTGCCAGATAATCTGGGATAAACAGAAAACCTGGGATCAGATCCTGGGATATGGGGCTCTGAAAGGGCTCTTCCAAACAGCCATATAACCCAGAATATCAAGGCAGATAATCCACAATATCTGCTTTGAACTGCATTAACAGAGTCCACACTGCCATATAAGCCAGTTAAGTGTGGATTTTATACAGCTGTGTGGAAGGGGGCAAAGCAGCTTACATTTCAATACAATTTCAAATCTACAAATATGTGAAATATTACAATAGAATTAAATATAATGGCTATTCTTTAAAGCAGGCATGGGCCAGCTTGGGCCCTCCTTGTGTTTTGGACTTCAACTCCCACAATTCCTAATAGCCAGTAGTGCAGTGTTTCTCAACCTTTCTAATGCCACAATCCCTTAATACAGTTCTTCGTGTTGTGGTGACCCCCAACCATAACATTATTTTTGTGGCTTCTTTATAACTGTAATTTTTCTACTGTTATGAATCGTCATGTAAATCTCTGATATGCAGGATGTTTATCCAACCTCCTGCCATAAGGGAAAAGCACAATCAAGGCACTCCTGTCAGGTGGCCAGTCAGCCTTTGCAGGCTGAACGTCGTGTTGTTCTCGCTGCTGCTGCTTTGGCAGAGGAGGAAGGAGAGGAAGACGACAGTGGCTTCTGGGAAGTGGAGTCCCACATTCAAGGTGGGGGCTCATTACTGAGCATGACTGACAGTATCGGAAAGTGCTCCGCCTCGTTTGGCGTTCCTCCCTGGAAAAGGTTCACTGTTGGTTCGCTATTGGTTCTCCAAAGAGCCAATGCTGGCTCTCCTCAGAGCCACGAGGGAATGGAGAGGTAATGGCCCCACCCACCAGAGCAAGTGGTGATGCCCCTAAAGTTTGTTTTGTTGATTTGCTTCTTCCTCTTCTTCAAAGGCACCTCTGCCTCCTCCTCCAGCCAAAGCAATTGTGGACCTTCGGCGCGTGTCAGTAGAAATGGCTACATGTGTCACTACTGACACGCATGTCATAGGTTCGCCATCACGGGTCTAAACGCACAAATTGAAAACATGCTCAGGACTTTTGGGGGAAAGGAGAAGGATACCGTAGCACCATTGATGCACCCCTTGGATGGAGGCTGCTTGGATGGCTGTGGCTGGAGGGAGGTGGACTGGCTGGTTTATCAGCCTATAACTGCATGACTGCAAAAGTTAGTGACTTCATGAGATAAAGTTCCTGTACTTCTGTTACCAGCAGAATTGATCTCCTCTCATTGCTGTTTTTTGATAAAATAGGTTTGGGCAATAGTGCCATTATTATGACTAGTATGTACAAATAATATGTATCAGTTACTGATTCATAATTCCAGGTTACACATCCATAAGTGTGATACTGAATTCTGGTCATGAACTTATGAAATTAAGAAACCATCATGATATGAGTGAGAGAAAATGAAAGCATCACCAACCAACATTAACACACTTTTGTTATTCAGTGCAATCTGTCATCAGTAAGTATGATTTCCCTCTGCTCTTTTCTTTTTGCAAGTGAGCTTTAATAAATACTGACAAGGATTACATAGAGTTAAGTTTTCCTAGCAGCATGATTCAGTTCATACAATGAATGGATAACAACTTAATAAATATGCTGTAATTATTGCAGAACAGTCTGAATTTGAAATAGAGCCTATCTCCAGTAAAAGCACAAATTAGAACTTCTGATTTGTACTCCAGATGTCTACCTTTTCAGTGTTATTATAAATTCACCACTTATATTACTCACCCATTTCCAACAGAACAGTGTTGTATGCCATTCTA